ATTATAACAAGGAAAGGTAAGAAAACAAAGCGAGTACAGTTAAAGAACAAGTAATACAAAAAAGAAATTATATGAAGAGGGAGGAATGTAATACATAAGAAAAGAAAGTACATAGCTCCTACATGGGAATAGTGAAAAAAAAGAAGAAAGAAATTGCAAGAAGAGAACGAGTAGAAACAGAAGAGAATACATATTACGAGACAGCAAAGAAAGCAAGAGTAGTAAAACTAAACTATACCACGATGAAGGGAAGCAGAAGATGGATCTTGATGATAAGAGACAAGAAAATGAATAAGACACGAAACGAGGGAGAAACTGCACCAAGAAAATGATAAACAAAGCAAGACCGATGAAGACACAAAGTAAATGAAATGATACAGACGAATAGAAAGACAAATCATGCAAAAGGGAAGACAAATATTTTATAACGCTGTATTAAACGAACAAATTTTTATAAAGCGGAGTCGTTAATTAAAAATTCATAAAACAAAGAAATAACTCATGGGATGATAACTAACGCCCTGGACCAAAATTCTTCTTTAGAAGCTGACAGTCACTCAGCTAGTCCATCAGTTGCATGGAACACGGAGGTTTATTGTCTTTTCAATACAAGTCCACACACCATTTTGATCCAGATGAATACAATCCACGGCGTCATAAAGTAGCCTCTTTATTTCATCAAGACACACTTAATCCTCGTAGCTAAGCCGATATTCCACAGCTAGCTATTTATGTGTGAATTTCGCATCTAAAATTGTTATTAGAAAGGAAGAAATTAATATTTATTTATACTGATGGTCACACAACTAATTAGGCAAATGCCTCCCTTGTCATCCAGACACAAATTCTTATTCTTTCTTCCTAGGCCGGTGACGGGGTTTGCTAGACGATCTGTTTCTTTTGTTCCGTGGTCTGTACACCCCTGACCCGGGACCAGTTGGAGTGCAGAAGATCTGAGTGCCCTATAAAACCGAACAGCTTTTTGTGTGAGACCGTGCGTGGGTGCTTCTGTGGGGTCCCCACATTTGTTTTATTTACGATGTCCCCAAACTGTGCAACACTGAGTCCCACATTAAAAGCTTCTGGACTTCTTTACTGCTATTTCCGACAGTGTGCTGAGCGCTGCATGCGCCAGCCTTGCATCTAATAGTCATGAGATCGAACCTTTTTCCCATATCTTCACCGTTTCTCCAAAGCGTTCCACAGCTGAGGTGCGCAAGTTGTATTTGGGCTGATGAACACACAGGTTCCAGTACCAATGGCACTAGTTAGTTAGTTAGTTAGGAAGTCTGTTGGCGTGGTGGCATCACTGTTTTAACGTCTCTTATAATTTACTAGCAGATCACTAATCACGACTATAAGCAAACTCATGTCGTAACAATATGATGTGAAAATGTATGCTAATGAAATGAAAACAATGGTTTTTAAAGGAAATTAATTAGTAAGATATATGAACACGATGAGCAATAAAACAACAGAATAAGTACGTGAATTTAAATATGTAGAAAATTTAATATGCCCAGACGAGAGACTGAGCCCAGGAGAGATAAAGGCGAGCACTCAGATAAAAAAGTTGAATAATTTACAGACAATTCTGTAAAATAATGACCAGGAATGTCTGTACATGAAATTATGCAAAATATTAGTCGGACCACTGGCAGAATATGGTAGAGAGATACGAGTATGGGCGATTGAAGCAGAAGAATAAAAACGGCAGATGCAAGAAGTTTAAGACGCTTAACTGGGTATACTCGACTAAACATTAAGATAAATACTGAAATATGGAGGAAATTTAAGTGCAATAATATAGCTGAAGCTATATACGGAAAGAGAGCAAAATACGATGTAAATGGAATGGATGAAGACAGGCGGACGAAGATGACACGGAATTATAAACTTACGGGAGGAAAAGCACGAGGAAGAGGAAACGGACGATTAAAAGAAGATTTCGAGGCCGGTAAAGGCAAAGACAAGTCCGTGCCTGATGCTTAATTAAGCGTATTAAGTAGGCGTTGAATTTCCTAATCATTGAATACAAGAATAAGAATAAAAATGAGCAAATTCAACTAGAAATAAATAAATTTAAATGCTGGAGATTGTGTAAACCTTTATTCAGTATAACTACATATTTTGACGCGTTCTACAGTTAATTGAGACAAACATTTTGGTGACGTCTCTTGAGAATACGCTAGTCTGGCTGTTAGTCCCTTCTTGTCCTAATGCTAGTCTACTAGTTCTCTCTTCAGAACATTAGTTTTTATTGTTCCCCGCCTCTTAGAGCGACCGCACAACGAAAGCTTTACAAAACACAAAATAATAATAATCCATCTCCATCAACATGTCTGGAGCTCTCAGCGCGTCGGAGCTGCTCTGAGGCAGTACAAGGTTCGAGTCCTGTGTAACCAGAATCTTTCCGTTACAATTTGTCGTCACAGCAGTGTGAAAATAAACTGTATTTAGAATAAAATATGACTCTTTCAAGCTGGCTTTATTTAAATAAACCTTACTCTGTCAACATATATACATGAGAACATACGATTTAAATTTTGAAAATTCACAAATACTTATCATCCAGTCCTAAGAAATGGAAAGCCACTCTTTTTTCACTCAGTGGGTAAAGAAATTACTGCACATCAGAAGGGCTAATGACGAAAAGTGTCAAGTGGCTAATCGGATGGTTAATTAACTAACCTCTTCAAATGCGAACAAATTATGACAAATACGTCAATGAGTTTCACTCCCTTACAGACAAGAATGGATGAGAGCGATTATTTTAGAAATTGACTGTCGGCTTACAAACGAACTGACAAAACTACTGACGATCGACTAACTGGATGACCGATTTCTTAATTAAATGGTTTACTAACACAGTGGCTAATGAAGAAGCCACTCACCAACTGCATAAACGTCCTGTTAACTAACGAACTGGCTAAGTATTTCAGTATTTCACTCTTTTCGTGATGCTCCTTAATTAAAAAAATGTTATGTTAGTATAATTCCAAGGTAAATTCAGTGCACTATTGAAAAGGCGCGGGATATGTTTCTTTCACTGATCTTATCAAACATAAAATAAATCGAGGCCAGAAATATCAGCGTTCTTAAGCAACAAACTCTTGCGTGCCACAGAAAGAGTACAAACTTACGGAAGGCATTGGAATTCTGTAAATTTCAATAAGAGTTATAAATGATGAATATCATTTTCGTAAGTCTAATTTTATGCAGATAAAATCACATCAACTATTTGTTTCATACATGTAAGTCTACGTTAACTATACTGAGTAAATACAATTAAAACATTTTCGATTACCCTAATACATTTAAATAGATTACATTTTGTTGGTTATCAATCTTTTAATTTAGAAAGCTGCAATGTTGGTAATGTTCACGGTAGAAAATTTAAAACTTTCGTAGATGGCGTGGCTTTCAATGGCATGACATTCTTGTAAAGTTTTATAAAAATCTTTCAAGTTGTTCAGAAGTTACAGCGAGACTATCACAGTCTTAAGCATTCAAAGACGGCATTATGAACTAATTGATACAAATACAAACCTGTTTCCTTAAAGTAAACACAAACTTTATTAAAGAACATTTGATGTAACTTCTAGTTGAGAACGAATTCACATTACCAAACATTAACGTCCGCTAAAAAAAAGTAGTTTTCTAACGAGCACTGTAATCGCGCTGCTCAAGTCGATTTCAGCTCGAACAACAAGAATCGTTGCGCATTCTCTCGAAAACATGCGCATATGTTGCAGATTTTAAACTTGTATGGGAACAGCCAGAGAAACAGACACGCATCAGAACGTGTTTGTTGCCATCTTGACAAGTTGGAATTGAGTTACAGCTCCTGAGTGATGGAAAAGCTGACGTGAACTTTGTTCACAGACAGACAGACAAAGGGGCGCTAAGAAACCCACCCTTCAGGTTCCTTACAACTTGAGGTTGTTTCTTTTCAATTCCTTCCTTTCGTTGTACTTTCTCCGTACCTTTCCTTCTTTTGCACCGACATTTCTTATTTCTTGTCATCTTTCTATCATCCTTCAT